AAAAAGACACAAGATGTCTTACAACTGCAGTACATAAAGGTTCAAAAAGAAAATTAAGTAACATATATACTCCTGATCACCTCATCTTTTTGCCCTTCTTTCTTTTTTTTTCTGTTCCCAGCTTGTGTTCTCCATCCTACTACTTGCTGGATCCAAGTTTCTTGAAATGCTCTTCCACCCAAACACATTTGCTCCCTTCCCACCCTCTCAGACATTTAGCTGACTCTTACTATCCTTTCATTAAAAGAAATAAATAAAAGAACAACTTTCTGAAAACCATCTTTCTCTATGACCTCTCCAGTTAATTTCCCATCCCATCCTCCAACATTTTTGCCTACTCTTGCCCCTTCCCTATGTTTCTGAACAATTAAGGTCATCACATCTAAAGACACGGTCAAGCCATATTTTCTACAATATGTACACTGCCCACCTTAACAAAAAAGAAAAGAAAAAAGAAAAAGGAAGAAAGAAAACTATAACCGGAGCTATACTGTAAAAAGCAACACATTACTCACTAGCCATTAATTTTTACAAGTACCATGACATTAGTTATTTAATAGTAATTATTTCCATAGCATGGTAATGCATTATGTTGATCGTTTAAAAATTTTTTAAACCCCCCCAAAATTAGCCTGTTTCCCCGAAAATAAGACCTAACCTGACAATAAGCCCTAGTATGATTTTTCAGGATGCTCGTAATATATACCATATTTTTCCGTGTCTAAGACACTCCACCATTTTTTAACCCAAAATTAAGAAATCTAAGTGGAGCTTAGCAAGTGGAGGGGAGCCCTGTAGGATCACTTTGATCCCTGCTTTCCCCTCCACTTGTTTTTCCTCTCTCCTCAGCTTACTTCTGTGTATAAGATGACCCTCAATTTTTAGTCTAAAGATTTTAGACAAAAGTATAGTCTTATACATGGAAAAATACTGTAAGCCCTACCCCAAAATTAAGCCCTAGTTAAGTGAAACCCTGCCCTCCACCATTGTGCAGCAAAACTTCCCCTGAAAATAAGCCCTAATGCGTTTTTGGAGCAAAAATTAATATAAGACCTTGTCTTATTTTCGGGAAAACACGATACTAAAAGTGCAACTATTTTATCAAAAGACATATTATTCTTCAATAGCACATATAAAAAGATATTATTTTTCAGGATTTTTTCTCAGTTTGAAGTAAGCAGTAATAATCAATAGTTAATAGTCTGCAGAGTGCATGATTGCCAGCTGAAATGCAGTAAGCAAGGTGATATCATTACAGCCGGTTATTTGAAGAAAACAAAAATCCTTTGTTACAATACAAGCATGAAAGTTCACATGAAGGGGATGTTGACGGATAAAACACATAATAAGGCACCTACCTTGTCCAAAAGAGGAAGAAGCAGCATTTCTCACCTGAGTAACTCGATTGCTTTATATTTATGAGTAAGCCACATCAAATTAATTCAAATTTGAAAACACTGGGATTCAGGGGTTCCCTACTTCTGTCAGAGTGGATTTAACCCATTATGCTCACAAAAATGGCAGAGCAGTCAAAATATTCACTTAGATGAATAAAAAATGCTCTATTTATTCTTTATTTAAGTGAAGGAGAATCCTTTTTTTATTCTACAAAATTCTTTGTTTAGTTCTTGTACACTGTATTATCTCTTTGCCAAATTAAGCAATACTGCTAATAAATTTATATAAAGTCTGAGGCAAAATGGATCTATATTTTATTATTATCTCACCGAATGAGTTTTTAATATATAATAATGGCTAAGAATGTGGTGGGGAGAACACCACCAGTATCTTAACTGCTGTGGCAGAGGACAAACTGCTTGCTGCTCAGCAACAAATACAGCTAACGAAGAACGATGGGATCTCATTAAGTCATGCTACAAATGCAACTTACCTGAGACTCTCTTGTAAGACTTGTTACTGTTTTTAGTGCCATTTTGGTGCTTCTTGTCTACTGAGGGAGCTATGACTCCTTTGCCGTTCAGTATCTTTTCTGGTGATGGTGGCACTGATTTAGATGTCAAAGCAGATTTAATTGGAGCAGGTATGGTGGATGAAGAGGCTGAGGAGGTGGTGATGGTGGTAGTGGTTGTAGAGTTCATTTTAATATTGGCACCATCTGCCTTCACTAGATTAGGAATTTTCTCTAGACTGACTACTGGAACAGGAACACTGAAACACCAAAGAAAAAGTCTTCAAGATGTATTTTCTGCACCATGCTATTATGTTCCATGCTATATATACAGTCTCTTGATGTTTTGTACTGTAGTTCTATAAATATTAAAATTAGAATAAACCTAAAACTGCCCTACTTGGTAACACTGTGCATATACATTTTGATAAACTTTTTGCATAAATGGCCAGTTCTGAAAACTATATCATGATGCTATAAGAATTTTAAAAATTGATCTAAAAGCTCATTCATGTTTATGGTGGGTTTTCTTCTAGGTAACTACTTATACCTATTTTTGAAATACTTTAAATTACTGGACTAAATATAAATATTAGTCCCAAAGAGTTGACTCATTAAGTCCCATTCATGCAATGGGTCTACAGTAGTTGAAACCAATGAATAGATTTTTGCCACTGTACTTCCCTTTCTACAGAAAGCTTAATTGTCTACATACTCCAGTGCTCCCTCAAGAGAAACAGGATTACTCTGAAAAACAGTAACATTTTCAAACACTCCCAAATTAAAAAAAACCTTGTACAGAATAAATGTCTTAACAAAGCTCTACACCCTTTAAATAAAACACATCACAACATAAATGTGACATGTCCTGAAATATACGGCTCTAAAACCCTTGACTATAAACCTTAATTCTCTAACATGCCTTTTAAAAACAAACGGATAAAACAACATTTACTTCCAAAACATAATTTATGACATTTGTTAAAAGTCAGCAAAATTTTCCTAAAGAAGTGAGCACATAAGGTAGAATACCGTCTAGTCTGCAAGTGCAACATTAACCTCTTCACCTGACCCAACACTCCGAAGAGAAAGGACATTTCTTATCAAACTTTCTTTTCTACATTCTGAACACATTTTTGAGAGGGTTATTTCATCTCTGATACGCTTTGCAGAAGTAATACTAATATCCATTAAAAATTTTTTAAAAGATACTGTATAAGTTAACAACATTTAATGTTCATGCACAGGTTTTGGGAATGTGCACATGGCCACATGCGCACCCAAATTTAATCAGGTACCTGGCTGAGATTCCTGCAAGTGTAGAATACTGTATAGGTACAGGGCAGAGAGATAAGGTGTCTCAATAACTGTAAGCCCTCTGTAGCCAGAGGTCTCCACTTTGTAGAAGATTATGTACACTGCATAGTGTCACATGAATGAACAGAGTCATGACTTTGAAGTTTTTTTTTTAAATGGAAATGCTAGAGTTAAGAGACAATTAACCAGATTATGGGAATGTATAAGTGCAGGAATATTTGCGAGATTTATAGCAGACAAGAGAGAAGCTATGATGTATTTCGTCAGTGCATGAAATTAGCAGGCTCATGCAAAGTAAGATACAGACACCCCTGTATGTAGCTTTAACGTATACAGTGTTTTTCCACCCAGTTCTATGGATATAAATATTTTATTTAAAATTGCTCTGGCCCTATTATGTGATCTCTCTCTCTCTCTCTCTGTCTGATGAGATATCAGCTGAAAAAACTAACCACTTCTACAAAAGAACTACTAGTTTTGGGTGCCTATATCTCAAATCCTCTTTCCCAGTTCCAGATTTATTCTTACCTCCATCTCCTAAGAATAAAATTGGGGTTGGAAAGGTGGATTTGAAGTATAGGTGGGACCAATGACAGACAGACACTCTGTAAACTGAAAAGGCACCCAAAAACAGTAACTGTTTTGTAGGTATAGTTATTTCTTTATCTCATCATACAAAGAAGAAACAATGGGCTAAATCCAGTGGTGAGTGACAACTAGAGTACACCCAGTTCATCAATGGAAGATACATAATTTGTTGACATACCAAGTTCTCACTAAATTCAATAGAACTACTCTAGTTGGGGTTAAAGATTGGATTTAGGCCAGCATCTTTATTTTATTCTTTCATAAAGCAAGTTTCACAATCAACAGAACAGACACTACCTAAAGAATATACTTTCGACCAGTGTTCTTCCTAGCTGCTAGTTAATGAGTCACCGATTCTATCTTTTTCTATAAACAAGAGCTCTGAGAGGGATGTTAATGTTTTCAGCTGTTAACAATTTGTATTCTATGAAACACACTCCCAAACTACTTGAAATAAATGATAGGGAGAAGCTGTCTATTTGATCGCTTTTTGCTTTTGTATGACTGCCAAGGAATTGGGCTCCAACAGTTTTGAGGCAATTCCTCCTATCCCTAAACATGGCTTCTTCAAAAGCAGGGAGTATGTCTCATTCAGTTGTTCGAATGTCAATACAGCATTCTAAAGGAGGGTTCCATGCTTCTTGTGGATGAGCCAGTCGGCTGGTTCCAGATGCCCAATTGCTCCTGGTTGCAATGTGAATTACTAAACAGGGACTGGCCTCATTTTAAACATTTCATACAACGACCCATTTGCCTACTGAAAATTTCATTCACCAAATAACATTTTCCCCAGTATATTTTATTTACACTTGTCAAGAAAAATCTGTGGACTTTTTAAACTATGTGTAAATCCAAGGACAAATTAGAGGTCAGTTAGTCAAAAATAGGGTCATCTTGCAGTTGCCAAGTCCTATGTCTGGCTGCCAAAATGGAAAGCCTACTAAAAATAAGAAAAAATAATAATGCAGCTGACAGCCCCACCTCATTAAAACAAAACACAGTCCAGAAGCAAAATCCAACAGGTACTGAGAGACAAACACAGTGGCATATCGTCAGTAAGTCAGAATTAAATCAAATTTCATAATGTTCAAATCTGGTCATTATCTTCAAAGTGCACTGAAGCAGCAACCAGAGGATGTCTACCCCATTGCTGACCTCTATTTCACAATCCAAATATGCTGTTTAGGGTCAGGTTTCAAAATGTCTTCATGACTGATGGGTACAAGTGAATGTTTAAATTCACAAAACACACAAAGGAAGACCTCTTGTGTATCTTTCAAAAACTATTTTTTTAAGTTAACAAATCAAGTGAATTAGTAAATATCCAGTACTGATTTTCAGATATAAAAGAACCTGTATGGTATAACTCTGATGTGCAGTCACATCATTTTTGTTCTTTAAGAAAAAAGTAGCCTGACCTTTTCATTGATAGGACCGTTTTTGAACAAGGTATTACAAATGACAATAGAGACATAAAAACCTGTACGCTTATAAAAAGGATTTAGGTGCTCTAATATTTACCTTTCTAACTCTCCTCTATACTCTACTGAAACAAATATATAAAATGTAATATTGACTATTGAATTATGCCATTGTGCACCTGTGCAATGAGAACCTAAGTTATGCAAAAAATGGCAACTTGGTTAACTGTCCCAGGGATAGGGGCCATTCTAGGTACTAGATTTATAGAAGAAACAATGGCACTGAACCATGCTTTGGAAAATCTAAGATTGAAGAGATGAGCTTCCCTATTCTCTGAATTGAGGTTCAAGTTGGAGTAACTGAAGTCTTAGTTTTCCAGACCTCACGGTGATACAGGTGTAAGTAGAATCTCCTCTCACCCACCCACCCTCAACTTCCTGACAATAATTTAACAATGTATAAATTGACAAAGGATGCCTATCCTACACACACAACTTATACAAGTACTTCTTCTATAAACTAATCTCAAAAGCAATTTAACAACAACCAAATGAAAAAATAATTGGTCTGTTTTTAATGGGACATTTCTATTCCGTTACCTCCACCGACTTAAAATGGGAAATTCACAGAATGCAATTCTATGCCCATTAACTCAGAAGCAATTCCTAGAGACTACAGTGGGCTTAGTACCAATAAAAATAAAGCTGCTATTATTATAGCACTGCCATGCAGTTACATTATTGTACAGCAAAGCAAACCAACATTCCACAAGTCAATTCTAAAAATGGAGGCGGCCCAAACAAAAAATTATAACTTAGGAACTGAACTTCAGATCAGCACCAATTTTGGCACAGATGTAGCAATCAATCTGCTCTCTATGCCAAATGTTGGGGATCCTGGGCAAAGGGTCTGCGAGTTACGATTTTTTAACAATAAAATTGTTTCTGCTCCATCCAGAAACAAACTACCTTTTATGTCCCCAGACTTAAAATAGTTCATACAAATTGAAAACACCAATCTTGCTTATCTTGAAAGAGAATAGTTGGTCCCACCTGCTTTTTTTTATTTGGAAAGAATCCAAGCTGCAGAGGCTGAAATACTGATTCTCAAAAAAGGCCTTTCAAAAGGGAAAAACAATTACTATGTTATATGACTGAGCATGCATGAAACAATCTTACCAGCAAGAGCACTGCACAGTAGATATATTTTTTCAGCTTCGTGGGCCGGGAAGGGAAGTGTTTGGAAGGCAATGAAAGGTTACAGAAACAGCCAAAAGACAGGATTTCTTTGAAGAGTCTCCCCAAAAAAAACAACCCCCCCAATCAGTCTTGCTTTAAAGAAAGTCCTCCAGAAAGGGACATTTTGCCATGTATTTCCAGGGAATTAGCATAAAGTTTTGTAAGGCATATTTCAAGTATTGCAAAAACACAGAACAGTTGTGTTTGGCCCAGCCCTGAGTGCTTTCAGTAAACATTATCTCAGGATTTCTGAGAGTAGGTGACTGATACAAGTCTTCAAAAGAGAAATCAGCTCCAGGTCTGAGGCAATTTTGACACTCTCAGAAAGGACCCAATTAGCTGATACTCAGGCGGAAAATTTGTTAACTCCTTTCTCACCAAACACACATTTGTGCTGGGAAAAGGATTCTGTGTCCGGTTGTAAATGTTTTTTCAAAAGACTGGAGAACAAATTTTCAGCAGCTCACTTGTTTTAGCTCTGAAATTACTGTTTTGTTTTGTGGCTGGGGATATCCTTACTTGATACTACTACAGCTTTGGTGACTATATCTTGTCATAGTTTCAACCATTCCACCCTCTTGATCACTACACAATTCTTTGTCATGAAGAAAAAAGCTCCAGAGATGTTGTGTGCCATCAAGTTGCTTCTGATGTGTGGTGACTATGTGAGTTAATGACCTCCAAAATGTCATATT